CAGGCTCTATTTGCTGCATGCATAGTCAAGGTAGCCTTAGCTGTTCCTTTGAGTTAATTCTCAGCAGCACATTACTTTGTGAAAATGTTTATGAATACTTGTGGCATTTTGATGGTGCCAGAAGTTGGTGAGTTTGCACTTGGGGAATTAGGGAAGTTTCTGTGCTCCAAAGACCTAACCTTGGGTTGGTTCATTAGTGGACCTACCAGTTCTCTGAGGATTTTGCAACTTTGTCTTTTCATGGTAATCTCAAATGTTAATACTCTGGATTAACAAGAATAATTAATGCCTTCAGAATCCAATACTTGCATTACACTTGTGTTTCCATTTGCACTGATGCCAAGTGAACCCCCAAAGTGACAATGTTTAATTTTTTTTGTTTAATTTTAGAGACAAGGTCTCACTGTGCACCCATCCTGGAGTGCAATGGTGTGATCACAGCTCACTGCAACTTCAAACTGGGCTCAAGCAATCCTCCTGACTCAGCATCCCAAGCAGCTGGGATTATAGATGTATGCTACCACAGCTGGTTAATTTTTAAATTTTTCTTTTTAGAGAGATGGGGTCTTGCTACATTGCCCAGGCTGATCTGGAACTCCTAGCCTCAAGTGATCCACATGGCTCCACCTCCCAAAGTGCTGGGATTACAGGTGTGAGCCATGGCACTCAGCTTTAATTTGTAATTTAGACTCTTAAATGAGTATGCTTGGTCTGAGAGATCTCCAGTATGGAATACATTGGCATAAGGTATTCTTTAAAGAAATATCTGGTTGCATGCTTTTGAAATGGCAGTAGATGTTTTATAAATCAAAGTGGTACCAATGGGCAATAAAGTAGTGGGGTTTTTCTGCAGTGTGGATGACAACTTTGTTTACTAAATCAAAATCCCAGGTGAAGTCATAGAGCATTACAGTGAAAGATAGCAACTCAACTCGGTTACAGAACAATGCCTGTGTCATCCCATTGGAGACAAATACTTGTATGTTTCAAGTGTGAACTGTTGTTGGTTGGTGAACCTACCTTGTTTGGGTTCCCTCCTCTTTCTCTGCCAATTGTCAAGTTGTATTCCAGTTCCCTCCTATTACTTGCTTTTTCAAAGATGAATTTTTGAGTTTGTTAGTTCTAAGTTTCTGGGATACAACTTGAAATAGTTACCAATTTGTAAAAGAAGATGTTATCTGCATGTAAGTCTGAGCAGTTGAAAAGGGCCCCAAAACAAAAGACTGAGTAAATCAGGTATTTCTGGATAAGAAAATGTGATGGGTATCTTTTTAGGTAGTTGAATTACTTAATGATGGTGAACAAAGACAAATCCTCTCTGTATCCTTTCCTAAAATCAAAAGCTGAAACCAGAGAACTTTCACTAACTGCAAAGCGCATTTAATAAGTCTGAATCCATAGACTGGATCCATAGTTGATTATTAGACTAAAAACCATTTGGTATTTCATAGGCAGCTAGTAGTAGATTAAAACCCAAAAAGCCTAGCAGTTGACTTATAATTGGTAAAGGGAGGTTGATTTTTAAAAGGTTACTGAAATTGCTATGGTAAAATGTTAAATTAATCCTAGCAGCCTTTTGTAAAAAAAAAAAAAAAAAAATGATTGGAGTACTAACAGTTCATGCCTTGCAACTGGCTGGGCACCTTATATGCAGAGTTGATTTTCTAATTACCTAAAACCTCAACTTAGAAATTGTGCATCAGTTTCACCTTCTGATACTACCCATTACTTGCTGCCTTTTAGCACCTGGCCAGACTTCCTAACTGTTAAACACATTTGAAAACACAGAGAATGTTTTCTTGGTTGCTGGAAGAAATTAAAGCTTAGATTATTAATTATTTTTATAATGGGGAATCGATTATAATAACCTTATAATAATGAGATGTGATTTAAAATATTAGATTCAATTGCTTACAAATGAAACATACCCCTTCTGCCTGAAACTGAAAACTATGAGTCAGTGACATTGTGGTTTGGCTTAAAGATAAAACCCAACTGTGTCCTCCAGCTACATGAGAGCATATTTGGTAACGTTAGATCTAAAAACCTCTTAAGAGAAATTTCAGAATGAGACTTGACTTTTCTTTACCACTTTGCTGTAGGTCCTGGCAACTGCTATCCGGGAAGTGATTTGTCAGTCTGGGTGTTCAGCTGTAGTTAAGTCTCTTCGTTTAGCAGTAGTAAGAAGGCAGAAAAGCATCAGGAAATGTTTAATTCTGATGGAGCCTGTTTCAGTGGTGGAAAAACATGCTGTGAACTCTGAAAGTGCCGGGCAGTAGTGTAGCCAAAGCTTTTCACAGCTTTTCATACAATTCCCATTATATAATAGGATAGAAGCTTTGAGATAAGCATTGTATTTCATT